TTCCTTTGGCAACCCGGGAAGGGCAGGTATAGGAGGTGTTATTAGAAATCATCTAGGTGAAGTTGTGGCACTCTTCTCGGGACCAATAGGTATTGGTGATTCAATACAGGCGGAATCGTTGGCTCTACTTCAAGGCTTAAAGATGGCTGAGCAGATTGGTACAACAGACTTAGAAATAGAAGGAGACTCACTGCGGGTCATTTCTTGGGCTAAAAAGATTACATCAGCACCTTGGAAGCTATTTACATACAGAGAAATTAACATAATTGCAAGGAAGTTCAACACTCAGTTTGGCTGGATCAAAAGGACTGCAAATGGGTTGGTGGACACTCTAGCAAAACAGGGGGCTAATAGATCTACCTTGTACTGGGCAGAACTGTAAATGCTTTGTAGTGTTTGCAGATTGGGTTAATGCTTTCTGCAACCAATATCTATTGTATTTCAATATTTCTCTGTTATTAATAAAATCCTTTTGCTGATAAAAAAAAACTAATGCCTATTCTATTATTATAATCTCAAGAAGTTAAGAATATAAAAGTATCCAAGAGCAACATGTAAAAAATATCTTGGTGATTAAGTGAGGCAACCCTCAATGAGTGCCTTATCGCCTAGGTGGTTTCCTTGACAATGGTTATACTTCAGTGTCATTTGTTTTTGGATTTGTACAATTTTTAATTCCATTTGTTAATCAGCTACTTCCCTGCCTTATTGCTATAACAACACCATGCCATTAATTCCCTAGATAAACAAAGAGGATTTATTTTAGACTATACCAAGCTTTTAGCTATAACATGTCAGAGTTTTATAGCATCATTACCATCTCATGCAAAGAGATATGTTTTTTATCCATACATGTAATTTTATAGACTGAAAAGCTATTACTTTCATGGATCTAGTTCTCTTTTATCATGAATACAAATACGATAGTTACTAATGAAAAAAATAAAAGAAATGATGTATAGCATCTCACTTGTATCTTGGGTTATAAATATTTGAGTAATATACTGAAAGTAAATGTTGCAAATGTTTCTTGACATGTTTGTGATACCATATTAAATTCTCTTGCAGATCATATAGAGATTCCTTTTCCTTGTATATCAGGAATTTTTTGTCCCCTAAATTTCCATTTTCCCTTTTCAGTTATTGTACAGGGGTGATTTCTCTGTTGGGTGCCAAGTACTAGGATTAATGAGGATTACTTCGTAAACATTGATCTCTTTATATTTGCAGTTCTTTTGGTGGATGAGTGTTGCCCTTTCTATATCATTTCTTACCTCTTTATATCCTTTTTTCTTGATAATCTTTTAGTGGGTACTTGGCAAGAAAAGAGGAAAACTTACATATGCTTAATCATCTTTCTGTCAAATCAGAAGAGAAGCATATCCACAGTTGCTTCTGGATTTGATGAAAATAGCAAAAAAAAGAAAAGCATATTTTGTCTGTCATTTACATCAAAGGAATCACAGATTTTGACTAATTCTTCAAATGTTATCAAGAAATGCACTAATTTTGCATTTGGTTTGTGGTATGGAAATGGAACTGATTATGGATATCATTTTGTTGTCTTGGTGTTCTTATCTTTATTGTTACAGGTAGAAGCACCTGAAGATTTGCTAAGGCCAATCATTGTGGGGCAGTCAAATTCTCTAAAAGTTGGCCAGCAGTGTTTAGCAATTGGAAATCCATTTGGTTTTGACCATACCCTTACTGTTGGAGTTATTAGTGGATTGAATCGTGATATTTTTAGTCAAACTGGAGTAACAATTGGTGGGGGTATTCAGACAGATGCAGCCATCAATCCAGGGAACAGGTTTTCCAGGAAGCTCTCATTCTGATGAAACTATATATATATTTTGAAACTGAGAATTGAAAAATTGAGTTGCTCATCTTCATGTGACAACAAGAATTGTTCATATTCCAAAAAAGTTCCTAGGTTACATGATTTGCTAAAGATCCCATTATTGACTTGCTTTTACCAAAATTTAAGCTTTTTCCTGCAGATTAAACTTCAATTTCTGTTAGAATTAGGATGGCCACTTACATTTTACAAATTTAATCTTTGACAATCAATTTGTCTCTCACATCTTGAGCATCATTCCTTGGAATTATGGGATCCTTTATTTGCATTTGCAAATGAACATTTTTTCTGTGTACATGCATTTGCCTATATCTGTTTCTTATCTTTCATATTTTTTGCAGTGGAGGCCCTCTACTGGACTCAAAGGGGAATCTGATTGGGATTAACACTGCAATATTTACTCAGACAGGTATGGTTCTGATTAATCAGTTATTTATTCCTAAAGTTCCATTTATTTCACTTTAAATTGCTAGGGAAGAAAATCAGATTGAAATATTTGAGCTATATTTTTGCCCCTTTTATGGGGGAAAACTCCGTTTTCTATGCATTTACAACAAGACCTGCTAAAAATGGTGGAAAACAGTTTTTTTTTTTTTCCATAAAATGGGTGAATATAATAGCAAAAACATTTCAATCTGAAAAAATTTCTAGTCCCTTTTACATTGTGGCCCCGTTCGTTTGCAGGTAAATATGCATGGGAAAGTTGGTCAATGGGCAACTTTTTCCCATTGACCAACTTTCCAATATTCTTTTTGCATTAAGCAATGGGCCCCACAGTAAACCCTTACTTTCCTGGGTAAAACTTACGCATCTCCCAGGTGGGTAACTTTCCCAGCTGGGAGAAATTTTTACAAAACCTGATGGGACCATTTTACCCATTTTAATAGTTACTTTTTGTGGGTAGAAATGTCATTTTATTATTTACCTGGGAATCCTAAAAATCAAAAGAACCTGGGTAAGTGCACTTACCCAGGTAAGCTGCACTGTTACAAACAAACTGGGCCTGAAAGAAACAGAGCCTAAGACTTTAGGCTGTGTTTGTTTTGAAGGGAAAGGTAGGGAAGCCTGTACAAACCAAACATAGCCTGAAGGAATAGAATTTTTTTTACTCTGAAAAATCTCAGTTAAGTTTTTGCCCTTTCTATGGCAAGAAGTTTTCTGCCCCTTCATTGAAACAAGTACAACCTAATTTAAAAAGAAGTTAGAGAAACTGCAACTTCAACTCATTTATAGTCATATTGAGGGGAGTTAAATCGGCGCCAGTCAATTTTGCAAATAAATTTGCTCTAACAGGATGGTTTGTTCTGTTAGGTGATGGGTACTAACTGCCCTAGCATTCTCACCAAAGATACTTAATGAGGGACTTTCCAACTGAAAAGTTTCTATAAACCTAGGGACTAGGGACTACTACTTAAGATACTCAATTTTCCATTTTTGTTGATATGGCAGGAACATCTGCTGGTGTTGGTTTTGCCATCCCATCTTCAACAGTACTTCAGATAATACCTCAGTTGATACAGTTAGGCAAAGTAAGTTAATCCCCCTATCTAATTTGGCAACAATACTTCAGATACCTCAGTTGATCCAGTTTTCCATCCCATCTTCAGATAGGCATAGGAAACTGATTTCTATTTATTGATTTATTTGGAAATTTGAGCTCCTCTGCTTTAATTTTGCTTCACAAACTTTGCCTCTTGGAACTATGGCTACATTTTGCATCATGCAGTTGGGCCATTATATGTATTCCTTATGTCTTGCACGAGGTCTAAAAGCTGTGGTTGTTTTGTGGCCCATCTGTGTTTTAGGTCATTCGAGCTGGTTTGAATGTTGAGGTTGCTCCAGATCTAATTGCAAATCAACTGAATGTTCGAAATGGGGTTCTTGTTTTGCAGGTATGTGCAACATTATAAATTCTATTAATCATCTTATCATTCTAGAATTAACGGTTCTATTTGACAGGTTCCTGCAAATAGTCTTGCAGCTAAGGCTGGTCTACTTCCAACAACAAGAGGCTTTGCTGGCAATATAATTATTGGGGATATAATTGTTGCAGTTAACAGCATACCTGTAATTGCCTTTTATTCTATCTCTAATCTTTAGTATAAAACTTGGTTTATTTTTCTGTTATTCTTGACGAATTCTTGCATTTAGATAGAGGTCGGCAAGAAGGCAGACCTGGAACTGTGTCCTCTGGCTTTTCTACATTAGAGGGTCAAGACCAAAACTCTGTCAGATCTACCTGAAAGCAAGGTTCAAAGTATCAATACTTATCGGCCTGTATCGACCAATACGTATTGTGCCAATGGTTTCCCGATACGCCCCTCCAGGGGTTGTATCGATACGTATCGACCTCGCTTAAATTGAGCCCTTCCAAAAAGGCCTTGACTATTTTTTTTTGCCAAAAAACACAACTAAATTTCATTACTAGAAATATCAAGTACTTACATCCTGTCCTCCATCAGTACCTCCTTCTGCAAGTAGTTCTTTTGTAAACTGTTTGGAGGAAGGGCGTGAATTTTAATGAATATTGTATGTGCTTTTGGCTGGACAGGTTAGAAACAAAGCAGAGTTATCCAAGGTTTTGGATAACTACAATGTGGGGGATAAGGTCCTACTCAAGGTTCAGAGGGGCAGTGAGAATTTAGAGTTGCCTATAATTTTAGAGGAGAAAAGTTCCTAGCAGAAGCGAAGGCTGGTTCCTCCTTCAGAATCTGGACAGTTGATTCCAACAGATGGAGGGTATTCGTTTATCATTATTCTTTCGAAATGTATTCAATTGAAGTTTTGAATTATACAGAGGATAAACGCCGATTAATGGGTAATGTAAATTTGGAAGATGGGCTAATATAGTAATATGAAGAAATTGCTGTTTGTTTTTCTGTCATTAAGGTCTCTAATATTGAAGTGATGTCTTCTTATAACGTCTTCACCTTTTGCTTGTCAGTATATCTCTTTTTTAGGTCTATATACTTCCATTTCCTCTCGATGAAATGGACCTCTGGCTCTTTGATATCGTCGAGCTTTTTGCCATCTTTTTTCTTCTCAGAGATTTAACGCAATGCTGCCTGCAAGCAAAATCAACCATTAGGGCATGGTTAACTATATACCGATTGATTAAGTGGAGTAATTTCTACTCTTCAATTGCTAAAATTAGTTCGGTTGTCAAATTTTCGGTCTAAAGTTCGATGGTTTCCGCAAGCCAGAGAGGTGTAGTTGATGCAACGAGTTATGTACCCCCCCNCCCCCCCCTCTCAATCTAATTTAAGTCGGAAGCACTCTGTCTCTCGCATGAGAACCCAATCCAATTCATGTAAATCCCTATGTGGGAAAAGCTAAGTCATCTTCTCCGGCGAAAAACTGATCGTTTCTCTTATCGGGACCTTCTCCAAATCCACGCCCAACTCATCACCACTGGCTTCCATGTGTACCGGTCATGGCTTCTCGCGTTCTTGGAACTATGTGCATCAAATCCTTCAGCATTGGATCATGCAACTGCTCTTCTGCGCCACATAAAACACCCTGATGTTTCCCTGTGGCGTGTTATGATCCGGCGATATGCTTCGGATGTCAACCCACACCACTCTCTCTCCTTCTTCAGAGACATGCTTCGGATTAAAGGGGATGCCCATCTCGATCCATTCATCTGTGCTTCAGTGATCAAAGCTTGTGGAAAAGTAGCAGCAATTCGAGAAGGAAAATCGGTTCATTGTCAAGTTCTTAGGATTGGACTGGATTCTAATGTCAACATACTGAACACTCTCATTCATTTCTATTCAAATACAGCAAACTCTATTAGCAGATGCTATACCCTATTTGATAGGATGCCTCAGAGAACCATCGTGACAGTCAACTGCATGATTTCTGGGTGCATGAAAAACGAGCTCTTCGAAGTGGGTTTGAGATTATTTAATCAAGTCCAGGGCGGTTCCTTTGAATTGGGAATGAAGCCGAATGATGTTACGTTGGTGATTTTGCTATCTGCCTGTGCTGAATTTGGTGATTTGGGCATTGGAAAATCCCTCCATTCGTACTGCTGCAAGGCAAACCTCTGTTTGGAAATCTCAACCTGTAATGCACTGATTAATCTATATTCCAAATTTGGTTTCATGGAGGAGGCTACAAGGCTGTTCGGGGAAATGCCCCAGAGAGATTTGATCTCATGGAATACCATAATCAAAGGGTATGCCGAGAATAACGATTGTAGAAAAGCATTAGCATTGTTTAGGGAGATGAGAGGTGGAGACCTTGAAGGTGATGGTATAACTCTGATTAGCTTGCTTTCTGGTTGCGCTCAGAGTAGAGATCTTGACATGGGTAAGTGGGTGCATGCTTATCTGAAGATACGTGGACTGGCTATCACCATTCCTGTTGGGACTGCTCTGATTAACATGTACTCAAAGTGTGGTTTGATAGATTTTGCTAGAAGAGTTTTTGACGAGTTATCACATAAAAACATTGTATCATGGAATTCAATGATACATGGTTATGTGGAATGCGGGCTTTTTAAAGAGGCTTTCGGGCTTTTTGATCTGATGCGATGCCAAGGGCTGAAACCGGATGAAATAACAATGCTAGCTCTGGTATTGGCTTGTCGGAATTCTGGACAACTGAATCATGGCATTCAAATCCATTCTTACATAGAGAATAGTGGACTTAATGGGAAACCCCTTCTGGATAATGCTCTTATAGACATGTATGCGAAATGTGGGAGCATGAACAGAGCTAAAAGAGTCTTTGATAAGATGAAGATGCTTCAAAGGGATGTATTCTCATGGACATCGATCATTGTGGGACATGCCATTAATGGTCAAGGAGAAGAAGCTCTTAATGCTTTCCAGCAAATGCGTGCGGCAAACATTAATCCAAATGCTGTCACGTTCATTGGAGTATTGTTAGCATGTGATCATGCTGGCTTGGTGGAGGATGGGTTTCACTTGTACCAGAGTATGCTTAAAGTGCATAAAATTGAGCCCAGCATAGAGCACTATGGGTGCATGATCGATATGCTGGCAAGAGCCGGCTTGCTGGAGGGGGCACATGAGTTTGTTAAGAACATGCCAATCGAACCAAATGCAGTTGTGTGGAGGATGTTAATTAGTGCTTGCAGGATTCATGGGGAGGTTGATCTTGGATTGAGCTTGGTGGATGGGCTGTTAGAGACGAAGAAGTTGCGAGGTACTGAAGAGTATGTAATTTCTTCTAATGTTCTTGCTGAAGCAGGCAGGTGGGATGATGTTCTACGTGCTAGAAGGTTGATGCTAGCACAACAAGTCATGAAAAAACCGGGAAGAAGTTCAATTTCAGCTGTGACAGAGTGATTCTGGTCTTGTATATTGCCTCTAGGCTCTAGCTATGGTCAAACACTTGAGCTTGTGATGGTCGCCATTGATCGACTATGCTTCTCGTTACAAATTGATTTCAAAAACTGCGGTGTATAGTTGGAATTGTGGTACCCCCCACAGCATTGGATGCTTTTAACCATTCGGTCGGTCGATCGGTCGGTATTTGGACATTGCTATGAAGATTCTGATCTGAGAACAGAAATGGTCATGGTTTTTAAAACCGAACCGGTCAGGGGTCCGGTTATCGGTTCGAATGGTCCAACCCTTCGACCCGAACAATCGGCCCATTCGACCTGAACGGTCGGCCCGTTCTGACAAAAAATAAAAAATTAAAAAATTGAAAAACGGTCAAAAATGTTCGAATGGTTTGAACGATTAACTGGCTGATTCAGTGGTTTACTGATCAAAATCAATGATTTTAGGAAAAAAACAATTTTGAGGAAAAACGGAACTGGTCAAGTGACCGGTTTCCAGTTTTTCCTGTCCGACCGTCCGGTCTGATCCGGTTGTGAAAACCATGGAAATGGTTATGGTAAAAGCATAATCACATTTACTTGGACCCCTCCAAAAGATTCTAGTCCTAACTGGACACAAATAACACTTTCGACTATTTTAGTGACATTGGGACTTAAAGGTGGATAGAGAAGGGAGAGAAAAATAACACTTTTGACTTACTTTTAATGTAATCATTTTTTCTTGTTAATCGTCCCTTTTAAAAACATAAAGTTGAAAATTTTGTTTGAATGTTTCAAAAACCATGGACCAATGTAAAATCTCTGAATGTCAGGCTTCAATTGGAAAATTTTTAAGCAAATACGCCTTAATATTCGTGCTCTGAGTGCACTTCACTCCATCAAACGCAGCTAGAGTATGCTTGGATACCATCTGTAGAGGAGCAGAGGCAAGTCATGAAGAGTTAGCATCATTATCCATAAGACTTCATTGATATATCCTTTTCAAAAATAGAATAGAATAAAATAAAAACTTCATTGATATACGTATTTCATTGTCAGTAGACTCTTTCTCCTTCGTAGCCGTAGGTGAGAAGTGTAGTGAAGATTTTGAGGAAGGTTGGTTTCAAAAGAGGTCTCATTACATCACTTAAACCGAACTACCCAAGCTAAAGAACGTAAACACCCTTGTGTTGCAACTCTGCCATTTAATCCATGTGATCACCAGTAGTTTAAACATTTTTTCAAACAGACGTGGTTTAGTTATCCAACATCGGAAGGATTTTTTTCCCTCCGAGAAAGGAGCCAAAATTTTCCCGTCAGGCACCTAACCAACTGTATTCTTGGAATCGGTGAAATAAAAATAAAAATAAAAAACAGTGTGAGAAGAAGTATTTGGTTGCAGTGCAATTTTATTTGCACTGGTACAAATGCATGGGAGTGCAAATTCTCGTTTAATTTTGTTTTGGGTTTTATTTTATTCTGCTTTATGTTTTAATTTACTTCACTAGGAATGACTCCCGTATTAAGTATGAGACCACTAATCTGAACTATTTCAATTTTTTAAATTATTTATATTAGACATTTAGGTTAGGCTTTTTATTTGATTTAAGAGACTTACCATGTTTTTATCTAGAGAATGACCATACTAAGAGGCAACTACAATATCATTTAATTTGAAATTTACTATTTCACTATAAAAAATTAAATTAGAAAAATTAATATGGATCTTACATCTTTGTAATTGATAATTTATTTTGATTTACTTTGTTTGAAAATCACTATTAATTTATGTTGTTTTTAATATGATTTAAGAGATTAAATGAGGTTTTATTTGTAAGCAGTAACCCACTTTAATTGGTATTTACTATAACCCACTTTAATTGGTATTTACTATTTATTTGATAAATTTATTTCTAAAAGCTAAATTAGGTTATGCTTCCACAAGAACTCTGTCCATGTCTACCAATATAACATCGCATCCATACATGGAGAACATCTCATCCTCGTAAATAATATTATACACGGGAAGATACTCCCAATACACGGGGGGTAGTGTGCTGTGGGTAGAAGATCCGAAGTTGAAACTCACACCATTTGTATTAATTGTTTAGCCATTTTTATGAATTTCATTTATTTTTATTTTTATCAATTTAATATTTTTAAGTTAAATTGTTTGTTTGATCATTATTTTTGAAATGGTAAGTGTTTGAATAAAATTCCATTAATACCATAACATTTAAAGTAACCACTTTTTAGGGATTAGGATGCTACGTGTTTGAATTATAAAAAAGTGGAGTTATCACTTTTTTCATGAATGGACAATGACATGTGTCTTAAGGATGGAGGCTGTTGCCCGAAGACCTTCCTTTAATATATATATACTGCAATCAAACAAAATAAGCTAAAATTTAAAACAAAAATAGGTCAGAATTTATACTCTAATCATTTACACTGCCATAGTTTTGCATTGCAACCAAAACGCAGCCTTAGGAGGTAAACATGGTTCAGCCATCCAACTGCATTTTACCCTCCTATCGAAAGAAAAGCTTGAATGTAGTAAACATTTTATTTTATTTTTTACGTTCTTTGCATTCTAATTTAAGATACAAAAACAAAATATTGCTAGCCAATTGGACATACAAAAAGCACCATAAGTTTATCTTCTTTAGAATATATAGAATATGAATGAAAGTTCTCATTCCCAAATCATGGTAATTACATCTCTCCCGAAGAAAATAGTTGTATGGAGACCATTCCATCGTCAACCTCAAAAACATTGCTTTCCTTTCAACTATAATATGTATTTGTTTTTTTTTTTTTTTTTTGAAAAAAGAACCTTCTCTACAGAGTTGCAATGCATGCATTAACGATAATCAAGAAAGCACTTGTTCTCATCTTCCACACCTGAACTTTTGCTCACTGATGGCTCCCACGAAAAACTCCCATTAGAAGCACCACTTTGCATACCTTCTGCCATAAATTGTTGTAGTTGGCTGCTTTCATGTTGCACCCTCCCACTTATCTCCAAGCACAAGCCGTTACTTGGTCTGCTGTTCTTTTGCTTCCCCACAGAGGGCTTCCTACCAGGGCCAGGGTCTACAAAAACTGGTTGAATTCTGCCGGTTGGGTTTGGTTTAATACGATTCAACTCTCTTTCATCACGTGGCCGTAATATTCTGTTATCCAATTCTAATTCTGAGGCTTCATCTTCATTCATCACCACCTGCAAAAAAGGACCAACATAGTCTAAATGATTCAAGAACAAGATGTGTTTGTACAATTAGAGGAAAAAATATGTTTGTGCAGAACACAATTTTATATTGTAGATATCCAATTGGCTCTGAAAGTAAAAAGCTATGACAAATATATTTATATTGAATATCTTTCTCTGGTCATACTCAATATCACCTATTACAATTTCCACCAAATTTTCTGGCCAATTAGTTACATGTAGGTTATTTCAGTAGATAATCACAAATAACATGGAGAAAGAAACAAGAAAAAGATGATTTTGATCCAAAGGCTGTGCATTGGAAATTCAAAATATTAGCAAGAAAGAAGGTTTTGCAACACCAAAAGAAAACACCATACTCTAGTTTAATAGTCCATTTGGCAAAAGGAAGAAAGATCACAAGATACAACCTTACGGCCAACCAAGTCAAATGTCACAACTACTTTACTACGTCGAGCTCGCTCAGCTTCTTCAATCTCCTGTTGTTTCTTCTTTAAAATTTCCTTTTCCTGAAACCAAGGATAAATAAACTAGTATCAAGAAAACCTTGTAGCATGTATATAAAAAGAAGAGCACATAAAAGTTTTAAGGTTTAACATGATTTTCTTGCAGCCATAGATAAAATTAAGACTTGATGAGGAAAAATTAAGCTCCCTACCAAAAACAAGAAAAAAAAAAAAGTTGCAAACATTAAGAAATTCCCTGTATATATATACTATATACATGCAAACATTTATAGGCCTAAAGCCAAGAGGTCTCCAAGTAAGCTTAACCTATACCAGCAAGTTCAGATTGAGGAGAGTTGAAACTAGTTGTCCAGCTTATATGGGCTTCATATGGTACCTAAAAGACTTTTTCCAATCAAAGCTTTACAAGATTTGACTCTAAAAATAATTTTCTATACACACTGCAGGTATTATTACACTTCAATAGGAATTATGAGAACTCTATATTGAACCTATTGACTCGATAATCGGAGCCTTCTTATTTCTCCTTTATTTTGCCTAGTAATTTCCATGCCTACACCCTTATCTCCATAACTAAAAGTTAGCCTTAATACCCTTTCAGAACCTAGTAACAAGACCCTCAAAATCACTTATCATTTTCATCTAAAATCTTCTGCTTTCCCACTATCGGGTTATGTGATTATTTCAGAAGCTTTAACTCTCACAATTCATCTAGAAGAGAGGCTATGTTTAGCAGTCATCATATCAAGCCAAAAACCAACTTGAAGTCTTGAACTAAGACCATTTTTGGAATCTGTAACTCATCTGTGTATTTGTGAGGTGGTAGGATATTCCAATTTGTGAGGTTTAATCCTCATGAAATCTCATTCTTTCAAGAAAACATAAAAAAAAAATCAGAAAAAACATGTATTCATAGAAGAAGTGTGTGTATAATATATATATATAAAGAAGAATCTGTGGATGAATTAACCATCATGTAAACAAGGATCACAAAATACTAACAAAACAAGAAAGCCAGTAATTTAACAAAACCTTCAAAACATATAAAAAAGCAACTAAATACATTCTTACAAATCCTTTAAGAGTAAAGGATAACTCTTAATATAAAACAAAACCTCAAACAGTGTGACAAATCCTTCAAACGAGCCTCAAGGCCAAACACTGACATGCATGTGTATGTATTGTGAAGCAAGTGAAAGCATAGAAGATCAAGAATTTAGAATGTTTAGGGAAGTAGTTGTCGACAGTTCTGGCTTGGAACACTATTTTGTTAACTGATATTTACAAATTTGTTTACATAATATACATACATAGGTGTGTGTGTGTGTGGTATTGGTGGTAGTACAGTGGTCCTTAAATTATGTTACTGTAGTATTAATTGGTGGTTGGTGTTAAATTAGGTGACCTGAGTATGAAGTTGGCAAAAATCATGGCACAATGCTTTTCAGGAAGATGCAGTTTGGAATTGACATCCAATAGATATTGACACTAATTCTGAAATGCATCACATCTCATTTTCCATTATTAAAAATCTTTTTTTGGATGTAAGTTGGGAAGCTGCCTTGCAGTTCTTGTACATGCAAGGCATGTCACAAATACGTGTAATTATATAGGGTACAACAAATTAAATACCTCCGGTGATAGCCAGCTATTTCCCTCGATCTCATAATAGTCACTTTGGTCATCAATGACTGTAGTACGTGCAGCAGAGTTACGATCATATTCCACAAGTTTCTTGGCAAAGGCTTCAGCTGCTGCCTCAGCATCTGTAGCGGGAAGAACAGCTTCATCTAGGCCAGCATATGTGCTTCCTTCCCTCAGTACAAGAGCCCCACAGAAACTGCATGGGCCCTCACCTTCTTGTTCACAAACTATTTTGCCACAAGATAAGCAATTGCCCACTAGCCTATGCCGGCGGGCTTGGCATGAACATGGCTTTCCTTGCTGAAATACAACTGATCCTTTTGCAGCCTCTGCAAGTGAAATGACTTTTCCAGTCTTTTTCCTTCTAGAACCTCCTGGGTTTCCTTTATGGGAACTTCTGGACTCTGAGGTTTCAATTGGGATTTTGTTCCCCTGATCACTGGCCACCATTAGCTCTTTGGATGTTCGAGATAACTTTTTTGTTCCACTATTCAAACCTTCATCAGGAGGCGGTTTCATGTAGGCATGCAATTTAGTACTCTGCATGTTCAAGGTGCTGTTGCTATGATCTGTGTAACCCCTCCGTTGTAAGTATTCCTCAATCACACTTTGGCCAGTTTCCTGACCAATGATATTCTGCATTATAACATGATAACTTTCAGATGTAACCATTTCTATCATAATATTGAATCAATATAAACAACTGTTCATTATTTTTATTTTCTTTCTATCATGAACAACAGATAAAAAAAATTATTTCAGTAGTTAAAAAACAGAAAAGTAAAACAACTATTAATTTCATGCAAAGAAAATGACAAGGAGGTGCATGGAGCAGAATTACTAGAAAGTTTCAACAACCAAATTTTGTAGTCATATATGCTACATGATTGTGTACCATGTATGCTTCAAATGACCCATTAACCCCTCCCTCTCCCCACTTCACTTTGATAATTTGACGGAGACAGTTTCTTCTCACCATCTCCTACCTGCAACTCTCAACAGAGTAGGTAACTATGGCCAAACGATCAATAGAGCGAAGTGAGAAAACCACTAACGCCATGGATTGTTTGAGAAGTCTCAGGTGTGGCCTGTTGGGGCTGGCAAACAAGACCAGGTGTGGCCAAACGATCAACTCTCAGTTGTTTCTTCTCCTCATCTCCCTCTCCCTTCCTCATTTTATCTTTCTCCATCTTTTTCGCTGCTTTTTAACTTGCAAGAGGTAGCATGGAGAAAAAAAAAAGAGATAGCACCAGGTTTTGTCGAAGACAAATGGGTTTTGTGGCAGTCCAACTTCTGTCATTCAAATCTTAGCTTCTACCCTTTGTAGCCATTCAAGTTCTTTCATCTCTTGCTTTCTCCGTTATTTTTTTATCTCTTTTTTTATTTTTAGATTTTTCAGGTGTTTTTTTGCTTTTCTTTTCTTCTTATTCTAGTCTTTTGAGGTTGTTTCTTTTTTTCTCACAAGTCAGGTTTTTTTTTTTTTCTTGTATAATGATTTTTAGATTTAGAATTTTCAATATTTATAGAATAGTCGAATTCGAATCGATTTGAATATTTGATATTTTAAACAAATTCGAATTCAATTTATATTTTTGAATGACTGACGGATATCGGATCGAATTTGAATAAGCTCTTCTTTAATCGGAATCGAATACGAATATCGTCTGATTCGATACAAATTCACTCCGTTTAAGTGTGCAGTCAGCACAAAGAAATTGGGTTTAAATGAAATTCTTACAAGCTAGCTCTAACACAAATGTTGTAGAGAGCAGAATACTAGGCAATCTAAAAGTAACACTTTCCATTGTTATGGCCCTAAAGGTTAAGCAGCCTAATTTGATTGTTTCATCAATCCTAGGGCATTCAGAATGAGTCAACCATGTAACATTTGGTATCAAAGCCTATCCTTTGCATTTGAGTTCAAGTAACACAAAGGACTACCGGAGATGGCTGAGAACTGCCAAAGGGAACATGCTACCTATCACTAGAGTGGGATCCATAATGGAAATAGCTATCTGCCACTGGCTGGCTGTGGAGTACAATGTGTTCTGAAAATTGTAATCATATCGTAAATCGTAGAGAAAATTGAATCGTGAATCATATCATAAATCGCAAAATAATTTCTATTTTTTACAAATTTGTCTAAAAATTAAATATATATGCTAAAAGGTTAAATATATATAGAAAAGTCTATCCTATTTTTAAATTATATCTACCATATATGTACCTAAACCAATAGAATTTACCACTTATACAGTAGAAGTCTAAGATGATATAATCACGTTTAACTTGAAAGTCAAATAATGCACATGCAATGACTCTTTATTCAACATATGACAGAAAATAAACTCAATATATGAACTTAAAGTCATTAAAACAAGTCACCCTTGCAAAACTAAATACAATCAAAACAAAATGACAAAGTTGAAAACTAATTCTTAATTGAATTGATTCGAATCATAATGAATCGTATAAATCGTAAGATTCAAACAAAAATCATAAGATTTTTGCAGAAAAGGATTCAGAAAACTGTAAAGTGATTTCATTAAAAAATCAACTACAAAAACCCCTGTACAAATCATATCGTAAATCATAAGACTGGAGTATGGTGTTAAGTTTATGTCCAAAAGGTTAAAATGTTAAATGGCTTGATTTGATGTGTTCCATCAGTCTTGGGGCTTTTGGTGTTATGGGCCCGGGCGTAGGATCTCGTCACGGGTCGGTCCACGGGGAGAACCTCTAGCTTCCCCTTGCCCCTCCCTTTGCGTACAGACCCTATTGTGGCAACCTAATGGGTGATTTGTCCAAGAGATCACCCGAACTCTCCTCACTCTTCCTTTGACTGAAAAATTGAATGCCTTTATTCCCAATTCACAGTTCCTTAAATAGGAGATTACAAGAGGTGACTCCTTATTGAATTCGACTAGGCTAGGATAATCCAACTTTAAATCAAACTCCTACTTCTAATAGGTAAACAACTCCTACTAAGAACAGAACTTAACTCCTATTTCTAATAGATAAAGTAAGAATAGATGGGATAAGGTAAGCTGGTGGAGAGCTGGCAAGATAAGTTGTCGCGTGGGCCCCTCCTCATTGCTGCTACCGGCGGCGGCGGTATATCTTTCCCACGAATGCATCCATAACATCACACCCCTCCTAGGCAACGAGCTTGTCCCCAAGCTAGAGATCTGGATAGGCGTTGTGAAGATTTGATCAGGGAATCCAGGTGGTCTCAGTTGATGGTAGTTCGTCCCACTCCACTAGGACTTCTAGGGTACCCCGATTGACGCGGGACCGGAGAAGAGCCCGAGGTTGGAGAATGGGTCTGCCGTCCTTTAAGGGTGGTAGGGGAGGTACCTTATCAGAAGGAGTCCCTGTAAATGGCTTGAGTAAGGACACGTGGAAGGTATCATGGAGTCTGTTGTGTTCTAGTAGCTCGAGTCGATATGTAACCTTCCCGATCTGCCGTAAAATCTTGAAGGGCCCGTAGAATTTGGGAGCTAGTTTAGGGAAAGCTCTGCGTCTGAGGGAGTGCTACCGATAGGGTTGGAGCTTTAGCCATACGAATTGTCCGGGTTCAAAGGTTACTTCTCTGTGGCGCTGATCGTAGGCGTTCTTCATGCGTGCCTGAGCTTGCTATAAGCGTAGGGAGACTTCGGCTAGGAGGGCATCGCGGTCCTGTAGGCTTCGATCCACTTCCAACTGTGTTGAACCGGGTTTGTAAGACAATAGACGGGGAGGGTCCCGACCATAAACAACCCGGAAGGGAGTCATGCCAAGAGAGGAGTGATAAGACGTGTTGTAACAGTATTCGGCCCACAGAAGGTACTCCACCCAACGCCATGGCTGGTCTCCCACAAAACAGCGGAGGTACATCTCTATCGTTCGGTTTACAACCTCCGTTTGGCCGTCAGTCTGCAGATGGTAGGCGGAGGAGAAGGCTAGGGCTGTTCCCTGTAGTTGAAATAGCTCCTTCCAGAAAGTGCTAGTAAAAATCAGGTCCCTGTCACTGACGATGGATTCGGGTAGCCCATGCAATCAAAAAATATGGGTGAAGAAGGCGTGGGCAACTGAAACCGTGCTATATGGGTGGGATAAAGGAAGGAAATGAGCATACTTGGAAAAACGATCCACCACCACGAATAAGACCGATTTCCCGCCAACCTTGGGTAGGCCCTCAATGAAGTCCATGTAAATATCGGCCCAGATCTGAGTTGGGAGTGAAAGTGGTTGGAGAAGGCCTGCTGGGTGCAAGTTTTCCCACTTTTGTTGTTGGCACATAGAGCAATTCTGAATGAAGTCCCTCACCGAAGCCCTCAGCGTGGATGCGGTGCAATGTTTTCTAGACACCTTCATGCGTGGAGTTGTGTATGCTGGAGATGACAAAGGGAATTAAGGGATAGTCGGCTGGGAGATATATTCATCCCTTGTATAGTGCCAACCCGCCGTGCATGGACCAGTTTGGGTTGGTCGTTCCGGACTGTATTTTCTGGACAAGATCGTTCCACTTTGGTGATTGCGGCAGTGTGTTCCGGATGTCTTCCAACAGGGTGGCTCGAGGTTGGGAGATCGCATGGAGGAGCATATTGTCTTCTTCTCGGCGAGACAAGGCATCTGCTGCACGGTTCAAGGTTCCCGCCTTGTAGTCCACTCGAAAGTCGAAACCAAATAATTTGCTAACCCAATGTTGTTGCAGCGAAGTGGTAAGCCGTTGTTCCAACAAATATTTGAGGCTATAGTGGTCTGGCTTGACGACGAAGGACCTTCCCCATAAGTATGGCCTCTAGTGCTGCACTGCCTTAGCCAGCCCAATCAGTTCACGTTCGTAGGCGGGTAATTTAAGGTGGCGGTCAGCCAGTTTGCGGCTGAAGAAGGCGACCAGATGTCCTTGCTGCTGTAGTATGGCGCCAATGCCAGTGCCAGATGCATCGCATTCGACTGTGAACTCGAGCTCAAAGTTTGGCAACTGTAGAACCGGCGTGGAGGAGAGGGCTTCTCTTAAACTCGCAAAGGCTGCATCGGCTGTATTATCCCAGTGGAAGGCATTTTTCTTTAGCAGATTGGTTAGTGGGGCTGCCAAAAGTCCGTAATTCTGTACGAACTTGCGGTAGTAACCCGTCAACCCTAGGAACCCGTGGAGAGCCTTGGCAGATTGCGGTCTGGGCCATTCCTTGATCGCCTGAATCTTGGAGTCATCCACAATGACCCCTTGCCCGCTGATCACATGTCCTAAGTAAAGGACCCGGCATTCCCCAAAGGAGCATTTGGATCGCTTAAGGAAGAGTTGGTGTTGTCGCAGGAGTGCAAAAACGATCTGTAGGTGCTGCACGTGTTCTACCCACGACTTGCTATAGACTAGGATGTCGTCAAAGAATACCAAGACAAATCTGCGGAGGTGGGAGTGAAATATCTCGTTCATCAGGGACTAGAACGTGGAAGGAGCGGTGCTGAGGCCGAATGGCATAACTAGGAATTCAAAATGGCCATGATGTGTTCTGAAGGCCGTTTTCTCTATATCTTCGGGAGTCATCCGGACCTGGAAGTAACCCGACTGGAGGTCTAATTTTGAGAAGTATTGGGCGCCATGGAGTTCGTCCAATAGCTCATCTACGATGGGGATAGGAAATTTATCCTTGACCGTCCGGCTGTTAAGCTCTCTATGGTCCACACAAAATCTCCAAGTCCCATCTTGCTTGGGTACTAGCAGGACCGGAGAGAAGAAGGGGGAGCGGTTGGGACGGATGATCCCCTGTTGTAACATATCCGCACACTGCCTTTCTATTTCATCCTTCTGTCGGTGAGGGTAGCGGTAGGGTCAGACGACGACGGGATCTGATCCGGCTAGCAGAGGGATTCGATGATCGCAGGCTCTGGATGGTGGGAGACCCTTGGGTTCTTGGAATACTGCAGAGAAATCCGTGAGAAGCCTCTCCATATCCGTTGTGCGCAAGTTCTCACCTTGAAGTGTATGCAACTACGTCTTTGTTCTTATCCTGGTTCCCTGCCATGTAACCGGTTTCCCATCCAGGTGGAATGTCATTGTCAGGGCGCTGAAATCCTATAGGATTGGCCCTAGAGTAATCAGCCACTAGACTCCTAGAACGATGTCGAATTCATCCAAGGAGAGTACGAATAAATCAGCAAGGAAAGATTCTGATCCGACCTGAATTTTGGTGTCCTTGCAGATTCCGGGGCTGTGAACTCTTTCCCCGTTTGCCACGGCTACCTGTAATTGCGGCCTGATTTCCATCGGTAAGTCTAACTGGCGGGCAATCTGTTCACTGACAAAGTTGTGGGTGCTTCCGGAGTCTACGAGAATGCGTACTGGTTTCCTTGCTACCAGCGCCCTTAGTTGCATGGTTTGTGAGGTTTTGATCCTCGTGATTGTGTGGAGGGAGATCTCGGGATCTGATGCTGCAGGTTCATCCTCGTCCTCTTCGGGTTCGTCTACCAGAACACATAATAGCTTCTTGCACCTGTGCCCAGAGGAGTACAGATCATCGCAGTTGAAGCAATGTCCTTTTGCGCGCCGTTCTGCCATCTCGGCTCGGGACAGTCGTCTAATGGGGGGTGTTGTCCTGCTACTCCCTATACTTGATGCCGACCTGGAAGGGATACCGGTCGGAGGCCTCTGTTCCCTGCTGGCAGTTGAAGAAGGAGACACTCCTGCTGGCTTCGAAGGTGCCCAGGTTGTTGTTGGCCGACCTATACTGAGGGTTCCGTGGGTGAGCTGCAGTTTCCATTCGAAGACGCGTGCGAGGTTCATTGCTGTGACTAGGTTGGGAGGGTGTTGCATCTCCACGTCCACCCTTAGGGGTTCTGTTAACCCCGCGGTAAACATATCTACTTGCTGATCTGGGCGTACCGAGGCTGCCCTGGCAAGAAGGGTTTGGAACTGGCGTTGGTATTCTGCCACGGTTCCAGTTTGCTTGAGGTTAATTAACTCGCCCAGCGGGTTGCTTGTCAACAGGGGTCCAAACCTGAGGAGGCAATAGGATTTAAATTGCTCCCAACAAAGCCTTGGTTCTTCCTGCTCCAGACAGTAGAACCAGAGTTATGCCTCTTCCGTTAGGTGGAAGGCAGCCAAACTGACCTTGTCTTTGTCATCAGTGCGCTGGTTACGGAAGAACTGTTCGCAACGATATAACCATCCTAATGGGTCTTCGGTGCCGTTGTAAGATGGAAATTCTAGCCGACTATACTTGGGAATAACTGTGGCTGTCGGGGCAACGATTTGATGTCTGCTGGACGTCTCTGCCTAGTCCGGTCGGCGACTGTTGGTGGTGGCGGTTTCCTCGGAGTTCCTTTCTTTGTTAGAGAGAAACGTTTCCAGCAAGCGTCGCAGCTCCCGGACATTGTCTTTGACCTCACGAACCTCCATGCTGGTTTCTGTGAGCCTATGCTCCAGTTCGTGGACCCTGGATGATAGCGGCTCCAGATCTCCCATGACGGTAGGTTCTGATACCAAGATGTTATGGGCCCGGGCGTAGGATCTCTTCACGGGTCGGTCCACGGGGAGAACCTCTAGCTTCCCCTTGCCCCTCCCTTTGCGTACAGACCCTATTGTGGCAACCTAATGGGTGATTTGTCCAAGAGATCACCCAAACTCTCCTCACTCTTCCTTTGACTGAAAAACTGAATGCCTTTATTCCCAATTCACAACTCCTTAAATAGGAGATTACAAGAGGTGACTCCTTATTGAATTCGACTRGGCTAGGATAATCCAACTTTAAATCAAACTCCTACTTCTAATAGGTAAACAACTCCTACTAAGAACAGAACTTAACTCCTATTTCTAATAGATAAAGTAAGAATAGATGGGATAAGGTAAGCTGGTGGAGAGCTGGCAAGATAAGCTGTCGTGGCAAGATAAGTTGTCGCGTGGGCCCCTCCTCATTGCTGCTGCCGGCGGCGGTGGTATATCTTTCCCACGAATGCATCCATAACATAATGTCCATAAGATTAGCATAGTGGAGACGAGGATGTTGAGCTGGATGTGTAGTTAGCTAGAAAGAATAAAATAGAAATAAGCATGTTGATGGGAATTCAACGGTAAACTCAACAGGTGAAAAATGAAAAGTCAGACTAAAAATTGTTCCCTTTACATGCATATAACTACCTATTGTAAGAAAGCTTTGTTGCTTCGGAGGCATCCAATAAAATTGGAATATACAGAGAAGATTAGCATGGATGATTCTAAGCAAGGATGACATATACAAATCGAGAAATGAACCAGTAAGAAAGGTTGATCTGATGTAACATCCAAGTTCAGGGTTCTGAAAGAGCTAAGGATGGCCAGAAAAAGACATGAACTGAAGAAGTGCGAAATGGTCTGAGTACTCCATGAAGAATATGACCATTCATAGACTAGAATGACAGTATAAGATTTGTATGTCTACCCCTGGTAGATGATATAAGACTTTCTTTAATTGAGAATAGTTTGGTTATTATGGGGTCCAACTAATTCATAGGCTAGCTACTAAAGGTGGGAAAAAATGGAAAATTAACATGATGACGATTAACTTCCTAATTAATTAAAAGCTAAAGGATACATCAGATGCACGGAAGAACTTCGAATCAAGTTCCTCTGGTTTATAAATGAGTAAGAAAAGGAGGATAAGGAGGATAAGGAGGAAAGTACCTAAAGATATACAAGCTAAAATCTATCCCTCAGTAATTATAAATAATAGAGCATACACCAATATCCCATAAGTTCATAAAAATAAAAAATTTCATCACAGCTCTGGGAAAACAGGAAAATACAGAAGAGCCATAAGACAACAACAAGACCTCATTAAAAAAGCATTTGGGAACTAATAGGACGAATCAGAGAACTTCGTCAATCACTTCTACAAGCGAAGGGAAACCTCAATCCGCATTCAAAGATTTCAGAGGAAATTATATCAATGGATTCAGGTACAATACGGACTATCAAGGGGACCCATCAATTTACAGACTAAAAACTTCTTGGATGACAAATTAGTAATCTATTAAGGAATCCAATCAAAAAAGGAAAAAGAATAAGGAAGCTTGTACATATAGAACTGTAGTATCAACCACGAAAATAGTAAAGGAGACCCGAGAAATTACGTTGAGATACTCTTTGGCATCTTCCGGGGGTGCCAGTTCACAGTACGAGACGAGGCCAGATATAATATCGCCATCCAAATCTAAACCAGACTCCACACTTCTGCAGAGTCGCAACAACGCCTTCTCCAGCCATTCTCCCGATCTCTGAGAATTCATTCTCCCTCTTTCTCTCTCACTCTTAGAGTTCTCGACGGAACAGCCACGACTGTCCGTCTCCGCGCTCAGAGCCTCAGACCGTCCTCAGGTCAAGTGATTTCGTAATTTACGCAATTACGCCCCCCCACCCCAACAAAAAAGAAAAAAGGGAAAAAAAAAAAAAAAAGAAAATGCAAAGCATCAAATCAAATGGCCGGTGTTGAACTGATCCGTTTACCCAGACCCGAAATAAATTATGTTTTTGCATGATTGATCCGCAGCCCAGGGAATAGAGATCAAATCAGCCCCCACAATGTCCCACAGCATATCTCCTCCGTGTATTGGGAATATCTACCGATGAAAAATGATGATGTCATCATTGAGAGATGTAACCAATACACAGTGGAGATGTGTTGTGGGACGTTGTGGGGGCAATCTTGTAGGGGGCTGATTTGAACTCCACTGGATAGGCGTTGCTTTCAGCTAATCCAACTCGGAGACCGGATGTTGTGGGGGCAATCTTTCATCTGTTTTCACAATGCAAAAGAAGAATCTGACGCCAAGTTTCGAGGAAAGGTAACTATCAAAATTCGATTTTACATGAATTTCTTTTTCTTTTTTTTTTCTTCTCTCTTCTATGATTGTTATTTCTTTGTTATGCTTGTGTTTCTTAATTTGCTTGTATAGTGATATAAGTTTAAATTTACATCTAGTCAGGTCTTTCGTGTAGGTTGAAAAAGGTTTTTAATCTAATTTTGACGAGAACTTAGTATAAACTGATCAAATGATATCCCCCACCCCTAATGATCCTGTAGTATAGCGTAATCATTCCACTTCTAAGAATTCAAGATAAAAAAAAAAATGTTCAAGAAATATAGAAATCTTACCTGGATGATAAGATAGTTTTCTGAGTAGTGTTGTTTTGTGAATTTCAAGTATCACTTTTAATCCATTTGTGCATATTTAAGGAAATTGGACCAGACTGGCCAATCCTTAAGCGATGGGATGTTCCTTGGAAATGGCAAACGGTTCTCCTGATCATGGCTTCATGTGGTTTAAGGTGCACTCTTTCTGTTTTAGTTCACAAAGAGGTCTTGTCATGAGGATTTTTACTGTATGCTACTAGGCTATGTAACGATTTCTATTTATCTTCATTTATTGTATGTTACTCGTTCATGAAAGATCTATATTTATCTTCATTTCCTGTTGCTTTGATAGCATATTAAAGTTTTGTCATAGAACTGAACTGATTCTTTTTTCAGGCAGTTTTGTTTTGACAGGATTGGTCGAGGTAGCACTTACACCATATCTAGGATTCCAGATTGGAGAACTGAGTTTGGATGAGAAGGCAGAAGTATTATTTGTGGACCAAGCGTATGGATCACTATCCCTGCTTCTTTGTAATTCTCATTGTGGTTTATTTTCTAGGATACCTCTGTAAGGCAGTCTGCCATTTGGCATGGTACACATGGATTTTCCAGGACACCTCAACTGTAATATGACCTTATAAGACAACAATAACAAGCTTTTCTTATTGGTTTATAGTACCAATATTTTCTCTTGTCCTTATTCTGGAAATATCTTTCATATTTTTTTTCTCCGAGGAATACTAATTGAATGAATGGTTATAATCATGGTTCAAAGTATTGACATGCTTGATACTCAACTTTTCTTTATATATGTTTGTTAAGATGAATATTTAACACTTGAATCTATTAAACAGGCCTAACCCTAAGTATTCAATGTATCAATGACCCTGAAATGATGAAATCCGATATGTATCTTACAATACACACCAATACATTGCAATACTCTAAACCTTGGTTATAATGAAACAATTTGATCTTTTGTGCATAGGATCTCCTTAGTGGGTTCCATCAAATACCCACCTATTTCCATGTACAAATTACAAAGTACATGGTCTATGCCTCTGGTGAACTGTGTTTGTAGTTCACCAGATAACTACCCTAAACTCCCTTCCCCCTCCAGTTCACCATAGACGAAAGTATACTTGTTGACTTCTATTTCCTGCATTAGTGTTTGAAATCTTTAAGTGTATGATTGCTTCTTTTTTCTATCCGCAATATGGCAGCATTACCACTGCACTTGTACTTGGAGTTGTATATGGTCTCACCAACACTTTCCAGCCTCTTCCAGACAATCTTTTCTGCTATATGGTACATCTATGAAAATCCTGGGACTGGCACTAAAACTTTGGCAGGCGATGATAATTATTATTTTATGTCTCAATTAAGTCAAGTTCCTTGACTTCCAAAATGTAACTTCATATGTTGAGACTTGATGCTTCATGCACTCAGAGGCCCTGATATCTCACATTCATGCCCCATGCTTCATATTGCAGGAATAGCAGAGGAAATATTTCCTTTTCAGTTTTATTCATGCATGGTTTCTAAAAACATGTGATTTTAATATTCAAGGCAGCCATGATAAATCTTTGGTTTCATGTGATAATGTGATCTTATTTTCCTTTTTTGAGAATAATAATTATATGCTTATAGAGATATTAGGCTGAATGGGTAGTCACTTTTCTTTATTTGTTCTCTTATTAGTTATTCTTTTGTTAGTGGGCCTTATGCTTATGAGCCTGTTTTTTATTTCTTCTTTATGTTATTGAGTTAGCCACCCTATTAGGGGCATCTTTGTAATTATACATTTAATTGAGATTAGATCTAATAAAATATACTTAGGGGACTGGAGAGAGGATTGATCAACTCTCTTCTCCATCTCCCTCTTCCTCCATTCTCTTCTCAGTTCTGAACCATTTTCTTCCTCCTCTTCTTTTCTATTTCTTTTGATTAAAACTTATAATTTGCAGTTTTATCTTCCTTCTATTCTGATTCAACATAATATGTAATTGTTTAAGAGTTGAAGGAACCTTTCAATATACAGAAAGGGTGGCTTTATGGGCAGGAATTGGTCTTGTTGGTGCTCTTATTGCTATTGTGTTAACACTTAACAGGAGCTGCTATGGCTTTGTTTAGTGGGGAGAACCCAACCCACAAAGAGAGGTTAGAATTGGACATAAATTTGTTTCTAATTGGCTTCCAGGATAGTCTTCAGTTGCTTGTTTTGAAACCTCACAATTAACTTTTTGTACTTACATCAATGTCTTGTCATATTCCAAGTAAAAAAGGATAATATAATAAGATAGTATTTTCTGTATTCAGCTAACTGGGTGGACCTGACAATTTCTTGATGGGAGTAAGAATTAATTATTTGAACTTTTATTTTTATAGTAAATTAATTGATTGGAAAAGAGAATCAATTAAATGTAGAAGCATAAATAATTGCAAATAGTGCTGAATTTATTGTAGTTGATTATATTAAATATATCAAATATAACAAATATACAATTCATGCTAAGTTCTGGTCTAAGAATCATAAATCTAGTAACATATCACAAACTCGTGAAGAGAAGATCCCTTTAAGTGCCCTTTTCATGTACACGCATGTATGCTTGCTATCACTTATGTATGTGTTTATCTAGGACAAAGAAATAATTCCTTTTCTCTTTTTAACATATGATTAACAATTTTACAGCTTGCATGTGCTCTCTACTTTATTTAACTCTCTTTGTCACTTATTTGTTTTCAGGTTGATGCTCCAGTTAGCTTGTTGCCATTGATTGGCTCTTCAAATATCAGGTATGGTATTAATGCCATTAACTTTTAGCAATATTGTGGGTCTGAGTTGTAACTTGTTTAACTCAATGTAACTCCATTTAAGGCTTCATAATTTAAAAAAAAAAAACAAATTAATGACATCCTTATCTGTTTGCATTCTAGTACTGCCTGTTTAGTGGGAATAACAGGTGTTTTGGCTCCATTACTTGAAGAGACTGTATTTCGAGGATTTTTTATGGCGTCCCTGACTAAGTGGTAAAATGAATTCCTTTTATCTTTTCTAATGTGTAATTGTTTTATTGAATTTTTTAGTAGCAATATTAAGCAATGATCTTGGATAACCAGGACCAATTTTGGGTCATGGCCCTTTAAGTTTCTTGGTATCAGAGTGCTGGTCCAGGATCAAATGTTTCTATGTAATTGCTTCTTATACATTATATTTATTGAGGAACCCTGCTATCTTCGCCTAGATTTAAAATTCCAGTCCATTTGACTGAAGACTCCATGAAGTAAATAGAAGCTTGGCATAACTTTTATTAAATCTCAGATGAATGTACACTATAGATTTAATGGAATTTGGTAGCTAAATGAAGAAAGCAGAAATAAATGCAAATAAAGATAGAGCCAAAAAGGACAAAGTATCTTACTGTATATTATATTTTGCTGAGAAACTATACTATCTTGACCGGGATTCAAAAGCTCCATATGTTTGACTGAAGCCTCAATTGAGATGAAGGCTTGTTGGATCTTCATCAAATCTTTAATACATGCAGAGTAGATTGTAATATAATAGAATCAGAAAACCATAGGCACCAAAAAGAAAAGAAAAGAAAAAGAATAAACTCAAATACTCAATTAAGCCAAATTGGCAATGCCTTATGAGTTATGCATATACTTGAAGAGCTTCTAGATGCTCCAGTGCGACCTAGTTGGAAAGGAAAAACTATTAGGCTCAGTTTGGAAAGAGTACAAATACAAATATGTACAGTGCAAATTCATACTAAATGATACAAGAAACAAGGTTTTGCACTCTACATATTTGTATTTGTACTATTTCCAACTGAGCCTTAAGTGAAATTGATTGAATCCTCAGGAATACTCAACATACTCATCATCATCATCATCATCCAAGCCTTATCCCAATTATACGTGGTCAACTAATCACGAGAGTTTGGCAAAAGTTTTAGTGCCTGCTGCAAACCTGACACAACCCTCCTTTATCCAGGCTTGGATATGGCAGGAAATCTTTTTTTCCTCCTACAGTATGAGGGCTAACTCTATGAACAGTTGTACCATATTATATTTCGTGCTACTCATATTCACTGAAGCTTTCTCTTTAAACAGTGGGTTACTGTTACTTCTGTTTGGAGTTCATGATATCCAATTCTTTTGAGATGGTTAAAATTTTATATTCACTTTACCATTTAATTTTAGGACATTTATTTTCTTCTTTTCTGTATGTCTTTGGTATCATGTGGTGATGGCAGCTAAGCAATGATTACATGGCACTATTTTTCTTATAAATATTTGCTAGTTTCTGAGCTCTGCATTTGTGCTCTAAACTTCTAATTATCTATATCCGTTCTACAGGTTTCCAGCACCAGTTTCTGTCATTCTAAGTGCTGCAGTTTTTGCTCTATTCCACCTTACTCCTGAGAGTTTCCTCAGCTATTTGTATTAGATTATGCATTTATATCCGTAGTTTATTGATTTTAGTCATGCTTATCCCACCGGATATGATATATCATGATGCTTACATGGTTGAGTAATGGTAATAATGATACATAAATATGTTGGCTCTAGTTCATAATGTACAAAAAGTACTACGAGTAGTACAAATATTAGAAGTTACATAGCATACTTTGGTGGGTGTGTTACTTATATGTTATATCCTGTCACACCACGAAAGTTTCCTAAAATAATACAAGTTTTATGGATGTGAATGAGGAAATTGGTAAGCCCTCTGGATGTCCTGCTGCAATTCTTCTCTTTGGTTTTTTATGGAAGGTCAATCCCCTTAGCCATGACCATGGTTGTAATGGATGTATGTAAAGGTCCTTTTGGATGAGGGTATTTGTGGGTGTCTAATAGTGTCCCTGATAGCCAAGAGGAGGAAGGGATGCCAATGAGTGACTTGAAGATCAATTAATGTATCATTGAGGAGTGACTGGGTGTATTTGAAGCCTCTAAAAGGGAAGAATGTGCTAAAGTTCATTGATTGAAGTAATGAGAGGGGAGTTAGATTTGTGTGACTATAACAATATATAGCCTTAAGTAGAGTGAAATAGCATATTAGGATTTACATGGTATCCCCCAAATAGTTGCTATAATGATTTATTTGGTGGGAACTAGTTAAGGATGAGAGACTGGAGAACTATCATGTGTAGTGGGAGAAAAGGAGTTGTCTTACTGTGACTTCCAGAAATATGAGGTCTGCTTGAAGCTTAGTTTTGATGGTAATCCATGGTAACCTCAAATTGTAGATCTACAATAAGAGATGGGAAAAAAAGAAGGCTCCTCTTAGTTTTATAAACCTCAATTTTTACTGTAGTCTATGGAAAAGCTCACAATAGAAAGATATTGCGCGGGGGGGGCTTTTTACTTTGATATCAGAACTTCTGAGGTTTTGGTGTGAAGCTCAAGTCTGATTATAGTCTGGGAAGCCCAGCCATGAGGCATTTACAAATTATTTTTAAGTGTTCTTGGATAACCATCACTGAAGAGATCTTTTGAATGGTATTTGTGAGTAATGTGAATGCTACTAACTTGTCAAGCTTGAAAGATCAAAATGCTACCAGCTATGTACTTATATGGTAACAGAAAAATATTAATTGATTATAACACCAAAAGCAGGTTATATAGAAAATAATATGTTTAGATTTGGGGAGAATAGGGGTTCAGCTGCATATGACATAATAATTGATGTTTCTAAAATCCTATAGTTTGTGGTTTAGTTCATAGAAGTGAAAATTTGGAAAATAATACTAGATCACAACTTAACAAGTTTGAGACCCATTGTGAGTCAAAATTGTGAGATTCAAATACCTATAATAGAACTCAAGTTTGAATCAAGAGGGTGGAGAAAGAAGAAAAAACATTTGTTTGAGTTGTAAGTTTCATTTTGGGTATAAAACCATGACTTCCAAAATACTCTTTTTTATTATGACTACAAACTTTAGGTACATGCATATGTATCTACATCGAAGCTTTTCCATTAGCATTATCAGTTATCTGTTTTGGGATTCTTCTTTTTATTAGATGGGAGATGTTTGTTGTTATCTTTAGCAGTCTGTTGTATCTTTCTTTTGGAGTGACCTACCCGAATTATACGAGTGTAAACCAGTACTGACCAAAAATTTGGCAAATCAATTATAAATTAGTTTCTTTTTAATCAATTATAGATGACTACTCACTCCTCACATTAAGTAGCATCAAGGTGTCAGTTACCTTAGGCTATGAAAAGTTGGTGCAGGTTTAAACTTCATGTCTTCTCTAGAAAAGTTAACTTGACCATCTATTTATTGAGAAACCAACTAAATGTATTGGTTCATACAGGGACTGCACTGGGACTTTCTTATGCTCAAACTCGCAATCTTCTAACCCCCATCAGTATACATGCTCTCTGGAATTCAGAGGTGATCCTAGTTCTCACTTTTCTTCAGGTACACCAATTATATTACTTTTGGGTATTGTTTTGCTTGATGTGGGCCACAATCAGCATTCAGCACTAAACACCAACAGGTGGTGGATATGTATCCGTACTAAAGGGCCATTACCCACTGTTGGTCCTGCCTATTCAGGGTCTTCAGAGGGGTAGGCTGGATATGGTAACCTATGGCACTTTTTGCATGAAATAGCCCTTGTCAGACTTGAATTTGCATTCTCATGCTTGTCAGACTGAGGTTTTACCATTGCATCAAGCAATAGTCCCTGGATATGTATCAGCATGGTACTATGAGACAAATTATTTGGAACTAAGGGTCTGTTTGGTTTGCAGTTGGAATCGGAATCAAAATCCTCCAGAATCGGAATCAGAATGGTCCATTCCCATAGTCTGTTTGGTTCTGACAGGAATGGAAATGGGAATTGAAATCAGCAGGAATGGGATTTCATTCCCAAGGGGGGGGCAGGGAATGGCCATTCCCTCAAATGGGGGAATGCCATTCCATTCCAGCAGGAATGGGAATGGTATTCCGATTCCATCCAACCAAACAGTTGGAATCGGAATAGCAAATTCTGATTCCGATTCCAGACCCTTATTCCCACGAACCAAATGGGGCCTAAGACCTTGTGATTAAGAAGCTTTTTGGCAGACCATTGATTTGATGGCCTTCTAGGTTGAAGATCTCCAAATCATTGTTCATCTGATGAATCAAAAGCGATCTACCATATTTTTGTGATGACAAAATTTGCTTAAGTTGTTTTTTTTTTAATCAATTTTGCTTAAGTTGGTAGAAGAGCCCATTTGATCATTTGGTTAGTATAATCTCATTGTGACAACTTATTACTTATAAGATCTATGAACTGGTGATATGATATGTTTATCTGGATAGATGACGATGTAATTATACTGCTTCAAAAGAAGATGAACTGAGAATTTTGCTCACTCACTGGAAACTACTTCTTGATGTCAATAACAAGTACTAAATGGAATTCCATTGGTTTTTCTTTTTCTGCTTCTGCAGCTCCAAGGATATGATATCAAGGAACTGTTGCAGGCCTCCTGAATGCAACACAAACCAATCTCTGTTTTTATAGAAGAGGGAAGGGGAGGTTTTGTAGGTGTTTTTTGTTTTTGATAAATGGGGGGGGGGGTGTTGTAAGTTGGCTTCTCCAGTTCTCTTTTCATGTGTAAATTTCTCTCTTTTTTCTTTCATTTCTGCTTTTTATTACAATAATGTAGAACAACAAGAAATAACTAGTGAAAGCCAATGTAGAATTTAGTATGTAATTATGTATTACCTTAATTCAATCACTGAAAATAAGAATGCAGGAATGTTTCAGGTTGACATCAGTTATGTTGCAGGCTGTCAATATTTTTACATTATTTCTCATTTAATGGATGTGACTGAAATATCTCCAAGTACTAACATCTTAATAATATTGACCAATGTCTTGAAAACTGGAACAGAAACCTAACTTGAAAGGGATCCAACTATAGGTTTTCCCAGTTAAATTGAGTGGTTTAACCTCAAACAACCAAAATTGGCCAGTTATAATTGATCTGGATTGGTCCAGTTCCTGGTTTTTCTGTTCAACAAGATACACTTTAGTTAAATTAAATAATCAGAAAATAACAGTATCTATTCTCCTTGTTTATCTGAAGACGCAGAATTAATGGGTTATAGATTGAAAAAGTGGAGATAACCACTGATATAAACTTAATTAATCAGAAAATAATCAGTTATGTTTAGACTGTTGACAAATGTCTGCAA